TCCTGGTTGATTTTGATAAAACTGCTGAGTTCTTAAGGCAATGAGGAATATAATGCTTTAAAATTTTATACATGACACTGCAAGTATGATTTTTAAGGGTACAATGAACTGGGCTCATTAATCCATTGGTTTATTAAAAGATGATTTCAAAGTTAATATCCCTGAGAAGCAATAGAAAAAGAGCAAAAGTAGGAAAAGCAAAGTGAAATATTTCACACATGTACATCCAAAAATGGCTTTAAAGCATGACTTTTTTCAATTGCAAACTTAATAGACCCTTAAAACACAGAAACAAAAGTGGCAGTTCATAAAACCTGATTTAACTTTTGATTGATACTTACATGCTATGTCACTGTGTCACTTACTGTAATGCCTTACTTGTAAAAGTGCATCATCATGATGCATAATTGTAATCATAATGTTATGAGGATTAAATAACAGAATATATAAGTGCTATTTGTAAATTCAAGAAAGGAATGATAATTCCTATGCCATACACAGCCGTTGTCAGTAACATTCAAACCAATAGATACTCTGAGGGAGAAAATAGAATTTTCTTCTCATAGGAAGTTTCAAATTGGCAAATAATCATCTCTTATACATCTATTTATAGAGTTATAGGAAATATGCCACACTCCATACACTATTCTATGTACAGGCTACCTATGACCAGTCTTCCTCTATTATTATTGCCCATATCTATATATCTTACCTGTTTCCACCATTTTCCTTGGTTTTGCATATGGCTAACATTCCAGCATGGCCTTCTTTTTAAATTTAAATTACATATAATGTGACTAAACTCAGGATATTCCAATATCAAAAAACAAAACTTGAGAACATGTAGGTCTATTCTTTTTGTTATACTAATTTGTTCAAAGTCAAGACTCCTTTATTTTCTCAGGTTTATATCTGTCTTCCTATTATTTTATGTTTACATTTTTCAAGTTTTTAAATTTTAGCAGACACAGATATAAATTCATACTCTGTCTTTAACATGATTTTAGCCAAGTGATATGGCATTGAAAATGATTTTTTATTTTTATATAAATATGATATAATATTGGCAGCCTCAAGTATTTTGCCCTAGAAGCTGCATGATGCTTTAGTCTTTTTTTTTAATTGATGCTTTAGTCTTACACATAAACTTCAAGATGTTAAATATTCTCCACAGGCCTAGGAGTTGCCCTTCCCATAATGAGAAAAGTTTTTTATATAAGCATTTCTTTCTTTGTTTTGTTTCCTATTCAACACAAATTCAAATTTATAATATAGCAGAGTAGTTGGAATTATGGTCTATAAATGGTATTGATTTGGTTATGTGTAAATCGAAACTTTGGATTTATCAATTTTATACCAACATACTTTCTTTCTTTCTTTCTTTCTTTCTTTCTTTCTTTCTTTATTTATTTATTTAT